ATAATGTCCTCTAAGTTTTTACCATTAATCTGATGGAATGGTGTCATGCTGTTTGAATTGATATTAGGTGGACACAGGGACAACACATTTGCTGTACCTGATGCAGAGGCACTGACTGCTTGTCTAATTTTCTGAATTTTGTCAGTGAAGAAGGAGGCAAAATCATTGCATGCCATGGTGGATCGAAATTCAGAGGCTACTGACACTGGGCGGTTAGTTAGTCTGTCGACGGTAGCAAACAAGGCACGTGCGTTGTTTTTGTTTTTGGTAATGATGTCAGAGAAGAAAGACTGTCGTGCGTTTTTCAATTCCAAATTATAAAGGCCAAGTCTCTCTTTATAGATTTCAAAGTGAACCTGGAGATTTGTTTTTCGCCACCTGCGTTCAGCTTTTCGACACTCTCTTTTTTCTGTTCTCACGGTCATGGCCTTTCTCCATGGAGATATTTTATTGCCAATCACTTCCTTTACCTTAGTTGGAGCAATGGTATCTATAACATTTTGTATTAATAATTTTTGAATTAAAATGATCTACTAGCTCATTTACTGAGATGTTAGCAGGGGCAAGTGTGGATGAAACATTTCCCTAGTATTTTCAGTTAAATATCGCTTTGTGGTTACCTCTTTCTGAACATTTTTGTGAACCGAAATAGAGCTCTCAAAGAAAACACAGGAATGATCAGAGAGTGCAACATCAGTCACCACAACCTTTGAGATATTCAGACCCTTTGAGATAATTAAGTCCAGAGTGTGCCCCTTATTGTGCGTGGGCTCCGCCACATGCTGAGTCAGTCCATAGTTATCAATAACACAAGACAGTTCTTTAGCCCCTCTGTCCTGGGGGTTGTCAACATGGATGTTAAAATCACCAACAATGACTAGACGGTCAAAGTCAATACACACTATAGACAGCAGTTCAGTAAAGTCATCAAAAAAGCTTGCACAGTATTTGGGTGGTCTATAGATATTTAGGAACAGAGCTCGAGAGGAGCATTTCAGCTGAAGGGCCACATATTCAAAAGAAGCAAAGTCCCCATAAGATGTCTTCCTGCATTGAATGGAATCATTGAACAAAATAGCAACTCCACCCCCTTTCTTATGCATTCTTTCCTGACTCATAAAACTAAAGTTGGGAGGGGTTGATTCGATAAGAACAGCTGCACTGTTATTTTGTTCAATCCAAGTTTCCGTTAAAAACATAAAATCGAGATTGTGCTCAGTGATAAAATCATTGATTAAAAATGTTTTTCCTGCCAAAGACCTGACATTTAATAAAGCTAGTTTAAGTTTGTTAAATACACTATCAGTAAGATTTTTTGTGACAAGCTGTGGCTGACATGGAATCACTGCTAAATTTGATAACCTCACACAAACGTTTGAGCACTTCCTGTTTCTAAGCTGATTCACCGCTCTTAATCTATTACCTATCAACACAGATATCGGCAAAGCTACAGGCAGGAAGGGCCCCGGCATGTGCTGGAAAGAGTTGAGAGTGCCATACGCCCTTGAGCCTGGACCCAGCACATATCAGTAAGAGTTTGTTGCGTTTTGTACACACACATCCTTATCAGGCTTTGGAGACTGCAGATGCTTTCTTGAAGGGAGGGGAGGTGGTTGACGTAGGCACAGTGATGAAGACGGGGGAGATGGTGCACGTCTCTGCTTCGGTGATTTTGGTGGGCGTTGTGGAAGGGCGGGGGTAAAGGACATGCTGCCAGGGGGGGGAGGTGGTTGACGTAGGCTTGTCTTCTGTGATTTTGGTGGGCGTCCTTGAGGGGCGGGGGTAAAGGACATGCTGCCAACCCTGCGTATCGCCTTCATGCGGTCATCGAACTCCAGGGGGGAGGGCGAGGGTGAAAGGGTGAGCGGAGAGTAGAGAGAGCTGGGGGATGAATGAAGAGTATCCTCAAAGGCGTTGACAGGGGGGGTGACGGGCAGTGGAGACTCCTCCATTTGTGTCATATGTCTCCCATAATCAGAACATTCCTCAGGCAGGTGCAGTGATACTTCTTCAGGGTTTTCTGCGCGATGTGTTGTGTCTTTCTCCTGTTTTGATTCCTCTTGCCGCTTGTCCTTGGCAGAGGGAACAGATCGATGACGCAGGCAATTGAATATGCTAGAGATAAACAATTTCACTCCTGACTTGTTCAGGCAAACTCCATCTGCCTTAAAAAGATGTCTGCGATCCCAGAGAAAGTTAAAATTGTCAATAAAATGGACAGAATGGTCAGTACAGGCAGTTGAAAGCCACGTGTTCAATGCAAACAGTCTGCTGAATCTCTCCACTCCTCTTCTGACTGGCGGTAGAGGGCCACTGATGAACACCTCCGCATTTAGAGAGCTGACAGTTTCCAACAGACATTTAAAGTCTTCTTTCAGCGCTTCTGACTGTTGTTTCACAACATCATTTGTTCCAATATGTAGTAGCACATTCTTCACCGTCGGATGTTCAGCCCCAATATGCAGGATCTTCTCAGCCAAGTCAGAGACCATATCCTTGGGAAAACAGAGTATTTTGGTGTTGTTCTTACTACACAGACCTTTTACATCTCTTACAGCAGAGTCACCCACAATCAGAGTTTCAGGCCCAGTCGTTAGCTTTCCCTCTAGCCTTTTACTTTTGGAGTAGCTATTGGTCCTTACCCTGCTGTGTGAAGTGGACAGGTTATCCAGGTCATCAGAAAGAGATCTCCGGTTCTCGGTCAGCGGAGCGTATCTGTTCTGGATTGGCACACTTGGTGGTTTAGGAGGATTGTTTGTAGTTCTCCCTTTAGCAGCTGTCCACGGCTGTTTCCTAGTATGAATAGGGATTGAAGAGGCACTCTTCCTGGTTGATAACAATGCAGGCCAGCCGGTCGCATCACAGATTTCAGAGCGCTGGGCTCTGCCTGTTATTCGTCCTCCCAAATCCCATGGAAATGATTTACTCTTAGGCTTTGCACCCAGAGAGTTCCAGGGAGGACTACCACTTGTAGATTTATTACCCGGTACACAGCCCTCCTGTTCCTTGGAAACCTTGTAGCTGCTAACTAGCTGTGAGTTAGCATACCCTTTTCCATTATTTTGCAACACTGGTAAAGTGGTGTTATTCCCACAACATAGTCCATTCACTTCAACGTTAACTTCCAACAAGGCAAGAGCAAGCAGAAAAGCGTCTGCACTGTAAGAAGATTAAGGTCTTCTTAGTAGACTCTTCTTCTTAGTAGAGTAGACTCCGCGGTCTTAAAATCCCCACAATGCTTTACGCACGGACCAATTTCCCCAAATCTGTGGCGGAAGATGTAAGGCGGGCCTCTCATATGACGCACACCTGCACACTTGCTAGCGTGTTCCACTCTTTGTTTTCTGAATGGCAGGAAGTATTCTTGCCTCGCTTCTGAAGCAAGATGCTCGGCAGACATGTGCTACCAAGCAAGCGTACTCGCGATTGAGAAACACCCTGTATGTCGTTGTGTCCCTGAGACACTTCACCCCAAATTGCTCCTGTGGTGATTGCCCACAGTGTTGAGTAACAAGTAACATGTAATGTAATGTAAAAACACAGACAGTGTTGGAGCCTGTCTGATGATCAAGGGCAGGTCGTTCCACAGTTTAGGGGCAGCAGCAGAAAGATTACAGTCCCCTCTGCGCTTAGACTTTATTTTTGGCACCCTCAGGTCATAAAACCTTTTAATGTTTTCATGTTGACTTCAGCAGATAATAAAAAAAATAAACATGCATTTTTCATAATAAACACATGGGAATAACTTAGAAAAATACCTGAAAACATGAAACACAATTAAATACAATTAAATAAAATAATGTACCTTTGAGACCTGAAGCCCCATATTTATCTTTGTTTCTACATGTTGACCTCAGTAGTGTAAAAACCAGACAAAGGGTGTTTCTCAATGTCAAGGAAGGATCCTTCAGAGCCACTATTTCAAAGATGCTACCTTATCGAATCCCGCCGAAGGACTGTTCCAATGTCCAGGATCCTTGGAATTCTACCGAGGACTGAGTCCTTCGTTGCGGGAAATTTCGAGGCTGCTCATGTGTATCCTCTGCGGTCTTAAATTACCCACAATGCTTTGCGCACAGACGTATTTAACCATTTACTGCAGGGCCACAATTACACACACACACACACACACACACACACACACACACACACACACACACACACACACACACACACACACACAAATATAAGTATTCTGATTTGTTAATGCCTACAAATTCTGTGTAAAACATCTGTTTATAAAGTTCATTTTACTTTCACTATGTTAATACATTTGACCAATGGTAAAGAAACCATATATGTATTAAATAAACAACTCAATAATTTAAAAAATAGCATTATTTATAAAAAAGAATGTACCTTTTAATCTATAATAAAACATAGATGGATAAGAAAGACCCTCCTCTATAAATGATCTCATATGCAAAATGTGTCAATGCTTAAAACAAAGGTTTCAAGTTCAAGAACCAACAATGTGTCTGCAGCTACCTCTAGTGGCCAGATCTGGGAAAATGACAAATTATTTTTAAAATACATTTCACTGCAATGACTTCTGAGGACATCAATTATTATCTGAATCAACATTTTATTGAATTTTCATATATCAACAAACATTGATAACACATAATATTCATAAAATAGAGCACAGAAATCAATAAGTGACATTCAGGACAAAGTGTCAAATTGATTAAATGATTAACCCTGAATGTTGTTAAGATTTAAAGGTCCCCTATTATACACTTTTTTCAACAATATATTAAAAGTCTCAGATATATACAGAAGCTGTCTCTGTTTGGCTGAAACACCAAACAGCATCCCATAATCCCCTCTGTTTCAGCCCTGTTTCCAAAGTGCTTATTCTCTGTCTGTTACTTTAGATGAAAATAAGGAGCCCCTCCCCACGCCCCTCTGAGAGACATTTGGTTACAAAGAACTCAATGGTGCTCTAGGAGGAGATGCAGGTGATAAGGGGGGGGGGGGGGGTACCTTGGTTGCTGATTGGCTAATGGTTAGACAAGCAAAACATCGTTATGACATCATAAAGTGTCCAAAATCTGATCAACACAAACAGAGAGCATGCTGGGTAAACATAGCAACTACTGTCCACAAAGGTTGTCCTTTATAATCTTCAAACTGCAGATTTCACACTGAGCTTTATGCTATTGATTTGTACAACGTTCTTTGATTTTACTGCTAAATAAAATAACTTGTCATGATTAATGTTATGATAATAACTATCTGCAGTGATACAGAAGCAATACAAGAGTTATGAATGTTCCCGTAATCACAGCTGACTAATCCACACAATCACTGTCTGAGCACAATCTCCGCTCTGTAAGAAAACATCATGAATCCTCTCCTTATTGATTATGATCAGGATGATTACACCTCTATAAAACTTATAATAACAAACACATGGGGTTATAGACGTTACAAATGCTCACAGAGAGAACAAAGTGTGCAGGATAAAGGAGGTCTGCTGCTTCCTCTCTGCAGAGCCCTGCAGTGGAAGAGAAACAGCAGCAAAGAAACACATGAATACAAATCTTCCTCCGACATGTGGACACAGAGAAGAGTTCCTGCAGAGAAACACCATGAGCAGTGAGAGCATCCATGGCTGAACACACAGCTAAAGAAAGTCAAACACTTACACAACAACTACAGATAGAGGTACCGCCCCTCATGTTTGATTGACAGCTGAAGAAACACCACAACAATCAGCCAGCAGTGTTAGTTCACTTAATGATAACAAAGGGCTTCCTCAAGGAAAACGTTTGAGAACCCAGTGAATCACTTCTGTCTATTTGAGTTTACAGAACTCAGCGGTGTCTCCAGAATAATAATAAAGCCAAAGTCCAGCATGCAGCGGCTGAGTGAAGGCGGTCTGGACTCGGTGCAGGAGGGTCATGGTGTCAGTGACGCTGTAGAAGGACAGAATACCTGCACTGTGATCCAGGTAAACTCCGATTCTGCTAGACCAGGGACCTGAGACGGGAGTTTTGATATTGTTGTACCAGAATGTATAACTTTTTTTGTAACACTCTAAAGCCCAGGATGTGTCATTGTGTCCAAAGCTAGAATCATTCAACCCCCCTGATCTGGTGGTTTCCTTGTAAGCGACGGCTATAGAAAGACCTCCACTCCGCTCCACCTCCCAGTAACAACGACCAGTCAGACTCTCTCGGCTCAGGACATGCTCGTTAAAAGCGAATCTGTCTGGGTGACTGGGATAGGGCTGTGTTTCTCTCGTTACAGTAGCTTTTCTATTCCCCTCAGATAATAACAGCCGAGTGTGTGCTGTGTTTGGATCCAGAGTGATTTCACGTGAATATTTTAAGAATCCAGCTCTGGTCTCAGGCTCTGGTGGTGACAGTAAAACATCCACTGCACTGACCGTGAGTGAGATGTTGGCCCAGTTGTCCCTCAGTACGTCCTGTAGTATATCTCTGACTTCTGACACGGTCGCTGTCACGTCCTCAAAGTATCTGAGAGGACGGACGTTGAAGCTGGATGAGTGTTTAGTGAGAGCTGGCAGAAAGTTGTGCAGAAACTGGGTGTGACCCTCTGTGAGTAAGAGCTGCTCCAGCGTAGCGTCTCTCCTCTTCAGATCCCTGAGCTCCTGCTCAAGCATCTCCTGAAGCTCTTTGACTCGACTCACTTCCCTGTCCTGCTGGGATCTGACCTGCTGCTTCACTTCAGAGCTTCTCTTCTTCATGAGATGGATCAGCTCAGTGAACATCTTTTCACTGTCCTCCACTGCTTTATCAGCAGAGCGACTGATTCCATCCACCTCGTCTTGAAGCAGCTTCACCTCCTTCTCTCTGTCCTGGATTCTCTGCTGGATGTTGAGTCGACTCCCCTCCAGCTCTCTCTGCCTCTCAGTCCTCTCTGCTGCAGCTGACACTGTGTCGTGGCCTTTGTGTTCCTCCAAAGAGCAGAGATAACAGATGGACTGCTGATCAGTGCGGCAGAACATCTTCATCACCTCGTCGTGACGAGAGCACACGTTCTCCTGGAGCTTCTTGGAGGGCTCCACCAGCTTGTGTTTCTGTAATGCAGCTGATTCAAAGTGAGGCTGGAGGTGTGTCTCACAGTAAGAGGCCACACACTGCAGACAGGACCTGAAGGCTCTCAGTTTCCTCCCAGTGCAGACATCACAGGACACATCTTCAGCTCCAGCATAGCAGTGATCAGCAGGAGCTTCTTGGAGTCCAGTCTTCTTCAGCTCCTCCACTAAAGCTGCTAACATGGTGTTTTTCAGCAGGACAGGCCTCGGTGTGAAGCTCTTTCTACACTGAGGGCAGCCGTAGATTAGCTTTCCATCCCAGAAGCTTTGAATACAGTCCTTGCAGTAGTTGTGTCCACAGGGGATAGTCACCGGGTCCTTCAGGGGATCCAGACAGATGGGACAAGAGAAGTTTTCCCGGTCCAGCTGAACTCCTCCATGCGCCATTCCACCTCTCAGTGATAGTTATGAACTACAGACAGAAGTGAAAATGTTCACATTCACTGAACAGGAATAATCTCTTTGCTCTGGCAGACAACAAATCTCCTCTCCTCCTGCACTCGTTCACTCAATGCAGTGAATGAGGAAACAGCCTCTGCATGTAACGGCATGCTGTTAGTACCTACCCATAGATATGTGGAAGGGAGGGAGCAATCAAATACCTTGATAGGGAGCAGATTGCTTTGTTTGAATGCGAAAGTAACACCCTTCATTGTTCCAAAAAGAATGAAGGGTGTGTTATCTGTCATTTACAAGGTGCAGTAAGAATTGTTGGACTTTAAGCTATGAAGTAACATCAGTATGGTTTACATTTCCAAGAAAAGTAAGTGGAGTTTGAAATTCATTGTTCAGCTTTGTTTTCTCGTTTTCCCACATTTCCTTAGGCCTGCTCAAGAACTTTTATTCAAATGATAAATTGCAACTGAAAAACAACATGAACACAAAGCAACATTTCACAAAAGGGTCTAACACCGTGGTGCAACCAACAAAGGAGACGCTAGGACAACAGCGCAGATTGTAAATGGCATGCTCGCAAGAAGACATTGGCCAACACCTGAGGCCGACATACAGAGACCCCATAAGAAAGGGGGAGCTGGGAGAGTGCAACATCCTCATAGACCCCCTGAACCTAATGTGCAGCTGGACATGTCTGAGCTGCAGCTAAGGGAAGGAATCATGGGTCAAATGTACCCCTAAATGGTCTTTGAGCATGTTTCTCTTCAGTGATTGTGATGTTATGTTAAATGTTTGTTTGCACGTATCTTAATATTTGTCCTTGTTTGATGTTGCCAATGGAGCTGCTGAGATGCAAGTCCAATTTCAGTTTGAAATTATTACAGTATCTTATCAAAGAGGGGTTGTCCACAAAGCAAGTGCAAGTTCTGCTGAAGGACAAAGCAGCACCTCATACAAAAGTGTACAAAACGTCCTACTAAAGTCCTGCTGCGTCTGTGGAAGATCCTGCAAGTCTTCTTGTGAAGTGGGAAAATATCTGGTCAGTGGAGAGTGGCGGAAGGGGTGTTGATCTCAAAGGATGAGAACTCATTCCCAGATAGACCAGTTTCGGATCATCTCCCTGCTGTGGGGCGATGCAAATATCTTCTTCAGTGCAGTTTCCAATCGGCTGTGCACCTACCTGGCCAAGAACACTTACTGTACATCAACAAATCAGTCCAGAAGGGCAGCATATGTATATATATATATATATTAGGGCTGTCAAGTTAACACGTTAATAACTTTAGATATGTCTGTAACTATGTTCATACATGAGAACAAATGTAAAACGTATTTATTTATTTTGATATTAGGCATTTCTAGCCTCGAGTTCAGTTTCAGGCCTGCGATGACATTTTGTAAATTGCAAGAAACAATAAAGGTAACTTAAGGTCATAAAGTACAGCACGGTCACATGACTTCACGTCACCACAGCTAAGCTAACGTTGGCTAATGTTGGGCTATAAAGGAACTACAGCACGGTCACATGACTTCACGTCACCATCGCTAAGCTAAAGGTAGCTAAAGTTGGGCTATAAAGGAACTACAGCACGGTCACATTACTTCACGTCACCATCGCTAAGCTAAAGGAGGCTAATGTTGGGCTATAAAGGAACTACAGCACGGTCACATGACTTCACGTTACCACCGCTTAGCTAAAGGTGGCTAATGTTGGGCTATAAAGGAACTACAGCACGGTCACATGACTTCACGTTACCACCGCTTAGCTAAAGGTGGCTAATGTTGGGCCATAAAGGAACTACAGCACGGTCACATGACTTCACGTCACCACAGCTAAGCTAAGTTGGCTAATGTTGGGCTATAAAGGAACTACAACACGGTCACATGACTTCACATCACCACCGCTTAGCTAAAGGTGGCTAATGTTGGGCCATAAAGGAACTACAGCACGGTCACATGACTTCTGAAGTAAAAAGATATGATTCTACACTGTATTGAAGTAAACATGTATTGTTTGAACTGTTTTAGGTAATCACAAACGGGTTTTGATAAGTCACTTAGAATAGGAATGTTATTCTTACTTTCAAACTCACTGATCCAGAGATTCTGTGTTTCAACACACCAACATCCTTCTTATCATCCATAAAAGCCAGATGCGGTTGTTAAGTCATTAAAGACATCGTTAAATAGGTGGAGAAGAGTTTAAATGTCTGAAGGAGGATAGTTTAGGTGAAAAGATCCCCTGGGAAAGGAATGTAGAGTAAGATAAGGTAAAGATAAACATTGACTTTTGACCTGGTGTGGCTTGGGATCTCACTCTCTGATCAGACCTCTGATTGAACCCGGCCAGAAGCGAATCCAGCCAGTCAGGACACTTGGGGGAGGTGATCAGCTTACACAGCTCCTCCCCAGGGGCTCTCTAATTCGCTTGGGAGAAAAGTGGGAAGGAAGAGATGACCCATCTCCGCCCCAAAAATAGATAGAAATACTGATGTTTGTGTGTGTAAAAATGCTTCTGGTCTGTTGAAAGCTGGTGCTAGAAGACGGTAAACCGCATCACAAACCTGGAGTCCATACTTCTCGTTTTCTGAAAGCTGGTCTGTCTACCTGTAAAACCGCATCACAGGCCTGAAGCCCGGAGTGCTCGAGTACTCTGTATAACTTGTATATGTGTTTGGTTTCCTACTAGAAGTAAACTCAGATAATTTGTTATAACTTTGATTCCGGTGTTTTCAATTCCTTTCTTAATTTAATAGAGATCCAGCCTCATCCAACGAACGGCGCGTAGCAGAGGTGTTCTGCTCCAACAAGTGGTGACTTTCCCGACGTTTGTGAGCTGATCTCTAGAAAGGGACACAGACAGCCAGGGGACAGAATCCAGTCCAGGGGGAGGACACAGAGATACTGGTGACAACTAAGACCATGGCAATATACAAAAGGTGAGCAGACACCTGTTTTGATTATCAAAAATCTGTGATTGATTATACTAAAAAATGTAGAGTTGTCAGCAGCGTTCTCAGTGTTCTTAGTCACGGTGGGAAATACAATACATATTACAAGTTGGGGATATTGGGGAAGTGCTTAGAGAAGGGTATTCAGTCCTGGACCTAGAGCAAAAATAGTGTTTGAGAGAGGCGGGTAGATTAGTCCCGACCCTTCACTCACTAAATACGAAGACTGTAAGGCGGTAAAAGAAGTATAGGTTAAATTCCCCGTAAGTCAAAATAACATTGATTAATACGGTTACTTTGCAGTGCTTTCTGTTAAAGACTACCGAGGGTGTAAAAAACAGAAGGGTTAAATTCCCCGCAGATCATGATAAGATTGATTAATGCGGTTACCTTTCGTGGTGCTTTAAATGTATAAAATGTCTGTAATTGTTATATGGTGGGTGATAGAGGAGGAGAGAGACGCGACCTCCAACTAATTATTTGGACACGACCGTATCTCATCACAAAAACTGTTGTGGGGATAATCAGGCTCATTAAACGTGACGATAAAGAGATTTTGTTGACTGAGTTTTAACTCTTGACCTGAAGTCGCAATCACCGTGAGGAGATTGTAGAAGCTTGCTTCTGGAAGTCACGCTATCTGTTGAAATAAACATCGCACAATAAAAATTTGCCTGACTGTGATATGATAAGGTATGAAAAGCTCTGTGTGATTTTTTTTTTTAAGTCAAATCTGTGTAATACTTGAGAGACAAATCCAGTAAAAAGAACTGTGGGTAAAGAATTGCAGAAGACATAGGGACAGAGAGCAACAAGAAGGTGGTATAATGTCTGAGACCCTACCTCCACCCTACGGAGATAATAGCTCACAAATGCCACTTATGAGTGTCCCATCTAATACTCCTAAAAGAAAACACATTGTTAGACCCTGATATTCAGGGAAAAGGAATGTTTGGAAATAGTAATGGAAGATATTGAAAATCTTAAACTGGATCAACCAACCATGTTAGTGAACCCTGCTAATATGGAGCTAATACATGTAGAAAGAATAGCAGCAGCTCTGGCAAAGACAATAGGTCCTAGCATGCAAGCACAGAGCGATAATATGATAAGGACTATTAAACTGGCCCTTTTTGGAAATGGGATTTTCCGTTACACAACGGAAGACTCAATTCAGGCCTTAAAGAACGCTTTACAAACAAGTCAGGGAGTGTTTAATGTGTTGCTATGTTGCTCATGTGGGAGCTTACACTTTTGGGAAGAGATCTTCCCCTTTCTCTGCTCCTGAGGTGCTGCAGATTCACAGCAGCACAAAGGGTCAGAGACAGGCATGACCTCTAGAGAGGAAGATCTGGAGATTGTAAGGAAACTCTCCCTAACTACCCACCCCCACCCAATCACGCAGGCAAGAGTGTGCCTCTCACCAACTAAACAATATCATCTCTTAACCAAGTCAGATTCAAAGTAGCCATAGCTCAGTTGTTAAGAAAAAGAGGGAGATTCAAAAAGTTATCAATAAATGCCCAGTATATTAAATAATACAAACAGACAAGTATCAATATAAGTCAGATAAGTAGACGAGGTCAATCATAAGAAGGC